TGTTGGAAATTTGTTTATGGGGTTGAAGTTGGGAAGTTGGGATGTGGTGCGAAGGAGAGTATCAGCTGTAAGAGGCTGAGATGCTGCATACTTCCAGAGTACGGGAGACCTTTTATACCAGAGCTGAGTAGGGCATCCTTCCCCGTCGTGGTACGCACATTCTTTTAATAGGTGGACTTCCACCGGTTGTAAGTTGAGAAGGAGTTCTCAGGGCGGAAGCCGTCGAACCTCTGCCGTTGGGTAGTTCGGGACCCCGCCGCAACTGACGTCCGTTTAGCCGTTCGCTCATGAGCCCTCCGCTTGGACGCAGATCTAGACTTCAACAAAGCTTCGTCGGCCTGCATGGAACTCAACGGGCTGGCGCCGGAGGTATCCTAGTGATGGGATTATGTGGGTCCAAAAACACGCGCCGTAAGCTCTCTCGCGGGGAAGTCAACCCACTACACGGGACGGAGTTACTCCAGCCAAGAGGAGAATACGCGAGTGAGTCATTCAATACAGCGAGCTAGCTCCACCTCGACATCGAACGAAATGGCCGAAGTGCCGATTGCTTCCAGCGGCCTTTGCAAAACCCCGAACGCCTTCAGTGTTAACGGGTTTGAAGAACCCTCAGCCGCGAGGTGGGAAAGCAAGTATGGGTCGCACCGCCAGGGCTCCGTACGTGCCAGCTGGGGGATGCAACGTAGGTATTCAGCTCCTGAGGCAGGATTGAAGGAATTTGACCGGCCCTGAGCAGCGTGCATGGTACATACATTTGACTTTCTGAATATCTGACCATTTCGCGCACCTTCCCCTGCAAGTACATAGGTTGACAACTCGGACGTGGTGTAGCGTAGCACGGCCCTTCTCATTTGCTTGTCAGTGACTGCAACGAGACAAACTTCCCGGCGTCCGGATGAGTCTTTCGCTTCTTCTAAATTTTGTTTCCTCATTAGCAAGTCACTGATCAGGTTCATACTCAGCACGGCCCCTCATTAATCATCTCATAAGATACATTCTCTTCCGGAAGAAGAGGAAGAGAGCAATTCCAGGTGTCCCGATTGCCGGTACGGCATATTTTTCTTTCCCAATTCGCCCGTTCGTGCGCTGAGGTCCGCCAGTCATCGAGGGAGGTTCTCCCAATCGAGAGTACCTATTTAGCAACTTACATGGTGCGTGTTTTTCTCTCCGGCTCCCCTCGACTGGTCTCGTCTTGGCGTCATCGTTCATCCGCTAGCCATGGAACTTGAACCTAGGCGTGCAATCCAGCTTGAAACTTATTTCAGCGGCCGTGAGTCCTCTCCATTGTGCTCATTTTTGTCTGGTGTGACCACAGACTGCACTAGGCAGTTATCTCGGACGTGGTGTAGCGCAACACGGCCTCATTTATTCATCCAATGCGGCGTCTATGAGGAGGCAAACCCGGGTTCGACTCTCGGCGTCCGAACTTGCTCCAACCGGACCTTCTATTTTATCATAAGTAAGGAACAAGCAAACACTCAGGTCTGTAGAGAAGGTTCAAGTGTCGATATTCCTGCAATTCCACTGGTTTCGCCAAGACTTCCTGGCTCCAACGAACAATCCACGAACGCGAAGCCCTCCGAATTGTGCTTGCAGTCGGCTCAACCAGCCACATGATTTGAGTAAGGTGGCCATGGCTGAGTAGAGCAGGGAGGCATTCAATCGATTCTCGGAGACAGTAGCAACCGCAGATTATCTATAAGGAACCCTTTGATGAGCGCGCGCGGTTTCGTAAAATTTTCAACCGTGGGAAGATGTATTTGGAGCTTCTCAGTGGGTTACGGACGAACTAAATCATCGTTCCTTTCTCCCCGCGAGTGCATTCAGACGTATTTGCCCCCCCCCCCCCCCCCCCCCCACCCCAATTTCTTGAAGGATGTACTACATCCCCGCGGTTCGTCTTGAGCGGTCAGCAACCGCCGCCTGGATTCTGGAACTGATCCTGGACCGGACGCCGGTTGAGATTGACAACAACGGATTGGAGGTTTTTTCAACTCATTCGTATGTAGCTGTGCAGTATCCGGTGCATTTCCCTGCGCACTTCTCGGGTTGAGACAGGTTGAGACTCGCCAAAACTCAACCGTGGGAATGTGGCGGTGTAGTTCTGGAAGAACTCAAGAACTCAAGTTAATCCAGACACCTCATCCACTGCACGTACGTCTGAGCCAGAGCTGAGGTCAAGTCAGGGCTACGGCGAGGTGACTGTCGTTCGGGAGCTGGAAGCATCTGCCAGCCGTTTCACGCAGGGAGGTTGTCGTTTTCTTTCGTTCCTCACTCAGCACACGAGCTGACCGAGTTGGGTGTGGGATGCATACGCAAGTTCATTACCGTATCTGATGGTGTGGCGCCCCATACTTTACGGCTTACGATAATTTGGAATTCTAGTACTTGTATTGCAGTGGGCTGTCCCCCAGACTGCCACGGTGTAGCCCTCTGCTCGAGTACTTCACAGTGTCACTACCTGTCGGCGCACCAGTTGGTGCGCGAGCACCGGTGCTCGCAAATGCTCAGGCACGTAAATACTGTTCTGCACAGATCTACATATATGGCCCGTCCCCGGCCGATTTTACGTCCAACCTGTACGTATACATGTAGAATTAATAATATAATTACACATGTACAATGCAAAAATGTTCGGGAGGTCGAACGATAACCCGGGTTTGTTTGCTTGCGCCAAGCTTCGAGAACTGAGGTGAGTCACGCGCGCCTCCACTAACTATCACGATCTTTCCTCGTCCGTCGAAGCTGTAAAAGTGCATCACTAGGAAAAAGTTCCGCGGAATCTCTGTTGCTTCATTCGGAGGTCGGGAGTCGAACCCGGTCTACCTCTCCAGATTTACGATACGTGTAATGCAATTGGCAGGGAGCAGAGTCCGTGCTGCAGAACAACGCATGCGCATCCGAGGTATGTAATACCGAGTTGGCTTCAAGCGCGTGAGAATACATCAAACAAAGTAAGTAAGTATTCAGGATAGCAATTGATAAAATTCAGACGACTGTGTACGATGCGATCCGGATGGTCATTGGTTGCAGTACTTTGCGGGTTTTTGTTTGCGAACTCGGATTTAACTTTGACCGGGGTGGGGAGGGACTACGAGTTTACAGTAAGTAATTGCGCAGTAATCGAGCAGCGCTGCGCGCGCGGGGTTGGGGTTGCCTAGCCCACCCCTGGTTGGCTGCACTCTTTCATACGAGCCGTATGGCCTCAAGAACGAATTGATACAACGCGAACCTTCTGGTGGAAAGTCAACCGTGGGAATGTGGCGGTGCCACCTGTCGTCATCGCTCCGTCATCTCAACCACTCCAACGCGCGGTATAAAACGCCGCCAATCCGCCTGAATTCGCGCCTATTTACCATTATGTCTACACCCACAAACCTCGTCCCCACCATCGAACCCACCGCGCTTCCCTCCACGCCCGCAAACGAGTGGGCAGAGAGCACGCGTGGCATCCTCGACGCGCACCAGAAGCCGTCCACACCGCTCGATACGCCGGACGAGAACCCCATCCCTGGCTCGTTTCCTGCCGAGCGTGCGCCGGAACCGAGAAGCGAGGAGACCGTGCTCGAGAAGGCGAAAGCAACCGTGCCCGAGGAAGACCAAGTCCAGCGCGCGATCACGAACGCTGGGCAAGCGGCGAAGGGGTATCTACCACCGAGCGTCGCCGCGTATCTACGTGCGTCTCTCCAGCTCTCCATCTATACCCCGTCTTAACGCGATAATTTCTATGCAGCGTCCGCCGAATCCACAGGCTCAGACCTTGATCTAACTCCTCCACGCCCACCCTTCGCCGCCGACACGCTCTCGAACCTAAGCACAGAAGCTCAAGCCGGCTCCATGGACTCCACCTCAACACTCTCCGGCGCCTCTGCGCGCGACAACGCCAGCACCCTCGTGCACACCGGCGCCCCCGGCTCGCCGCACCCCGTCGCGCCCCTCCACCTCCCCACGCTAGGGCGGGACTCGCCCTCGCGCTTCGTCGAGGACTTAGGCACGCCGCCCGCCGTTGCGTCCCCCGAGCCCATATCGCTCGCGTCTGTCTCCGCGTCTGAGGTCGCCTCCCCCGAACCCATCTCTTCGAGCGAACCCAGCGAAGGCGTCCCCGCGCCGCCCAACTCCGCCGCTACCACGCTCGACTCCGAGGCGGATATTGGCGCGGGGAGCCCTGACGTCGTCGCCCCGCCCGCGCCCCGTGGTGTTATCGCGCCGCACGGGTCCGCGGCGCTCAACTCTTCTGCGTTGAAGGATAACGTGCCTTCGGGCGACGACGGGGATGCGGATGCTGATGGCGAAGTGGATGGAGATGCGGCGGGTGAGCCCACGGAGGAGCGCAAGAAGCCGAAATTGGTGCAACGGCTGAAGGAGAAGATGGGCGTCGGGCATACGAGCGCGAGTACTTAGGTGCCGTTGTACATACCTACCTACCTTTTTCTGCTTTCGTCGTCGTTGTTGTGTTGTAATATAATAATAAGTAGCTTGAACCGTGTCTGTAATGTTGTTATTCAATACGGTGATATCGGTTTAATATCACTGTTGCCATTCTGCACGCGATGTTTCGCGCGTCGACGGGCGGACCCTGGATGTAAAAGTGCGCTGTGAGGAAAAGTACAGAACGTACCGACACATAGTCCGGGAGTCGAACCCGAGTTTGCCTCTGCACCTTCTGAATGCGACCGAAGGAAGCGAGGCCGTGCTGCATTGCACGACGTCCGAAGTGTCTGCCTTGGTTCAATGCGTGGATACACCAATGGAGAGGACTTCTTTGAATCGAATTCATTGGAAAAGGACGGACGATAAACCAAAAACAAGTTGAGCAATGAGTAGACTCACGGGCTTTGAATAAAATTTATTGGAAAATGACGGACGATAAACCAAAAAGAAGTTGAGCAATGGAGTAGACTCACGGGCTTGTGATCTGAGTTATTCAAGCAATGAGCGGCAAAAACGGGTTAATTCAGGAGAGAGACAGAAAAAAGGAAGCATATGTAGGATGCAGCTCATTCGGACGCCGGGGATCGAACCCGGAGTTGCCTCTTCACCTTCATGGTACGAGTCGTACGACTTCTTCGAAGGATGAGAGGCCGTGCTGCATTGCACCACATCCGAGGTATTTGTCTGGCTTGTTCAGTAGGTGAATACACCAAACAAAGTCTTTGTTACTCACAAGTGAGAGGACTTACGGGTTTCGAGGTTACAGATCAGGCAAAAAGAGTTGCGCACCGAGCGCCTCGGTCGAGCTTCCCTATCACTATGCACAAGGAGAATTCGTGCTGCGGTGTACCACGTCCAAAGTACCCGGCTTGTTCAGGGGCATGAATACACCAAGTAAAACCATCGAAATGGAGAGGACTCACGCAAAGCTGCAGTGAGTTTGAAGCTGAATATTGTGATTGGGTGTCGGTGGATGATCTGGACACCAGAACATATTCGGGACGTGGAAATGGCACTCCAGCAGAGGAGATGTATCCGGGGGTGACGGGGAAAGTCCGTCGTAAACGATGGAGACATGTTATTATGACAACTTGAACGCCAAGTCTGCGAAAGCAGAAAGGCCGACCGAGACCGAGAAGCGCGAAATCACGCCGAGAGGACGACGACGAGATGGGCTCGACCAGTTGCGTGACATACCGACATCCCCACGTCAGTTTGCAGTGCTAGAGAAGCAACTGAGGGCGCGATTATGTTCGAGATCGAACAACCAGGCGCCGTCCGTCCTGTGGAACTGCGTCAGTTTCAGTTCCCCAGCGCGGCAAACAACCGAAGTCAAATGACTCATGCGATCGCCGCCGATGGATGTACGACCAAACTGGCGGGGAGGAGAGCGGCTCGGCAGCGGCTGGTTGAAGTCGAAGGGCAGACTCGCCGGGGCGACAAGTGTACGCAGTTGCTTGAAAGGAGGGGCCTCTGGATCGCCACAAGTATACGGAACCGGTTTGGAGTTCCGGGCAGTCCCAAATCGGCTGAGAAGTTAAAGGTGGCTCTGTCCGTGCGGTGCATCTGCGGCGGGTAGACTCGAAAGGTAACAAACTTGGCAGGGCAGATGTGTTACCGTCGTCTCTGAGCATCCAGTACTCACTGAAATACCCATCCGCAGCCTTGCTGGTGGAAAATGACAATTGCGGCGCCACGTCGCGCGAGGGGTTGGATTCCCCCAGAATAGTCCTGGAGCGTGTGTAAAAACATGTCAAGCAGGGTGAGCGGTTCGAGGAACTAAGACATTGGGGACGGAGGGAGCGGCGAGGTGAACCGCGACGTGTCACGGTGTGACGTCGGCGCAAGCATGACCAAGCACCGCTTATTTAGCGCGGCTGGTACTCAAATATTGCCAAAGACACTCCTGGAGATATGAAGGGGTAAATTAGCACGGAATGCCTTTCCTTTCTTCCGCGGTATCGATCGCGACGCGGTGGGGCAATCGGCGATAATTACTAAGTAGCTACGAGTCCTAAAATGTCAATTTTAGACTCGTTTTTATGAGTAGCCCGTGCGGCGTGTGGCGAGACTCCCCCCGGGCGAGTCTCGCCTGATGTGTTCATGCCCAAATTCAACTGTGTATTTATCCTGGGGCTAGGACCATGGCAATCCACCTTCGCCACGAGTAAACTCCGCTGACCATGACTGGTCTTGGACCCACGAGTCTAGTTATACGTACAAAGGATGAAGCTCCCTTTCGTTCATTTTATGGTGGCCTCGTCCAGGGCATTGTCCTCCCAGACCCTCTTTTTGGGCAGGAAGTTAGAGAATCAAACGCCACCGAGATACCCGACCAGATTCCCACGGTTTGCATCCTTCATTCATAGCGGCGAAATTCGCGACTGACAACCGAAAAAGATTTCAATGACAGTAGCGATATGGCTAGATTGATTGAGATACGCTGGGGTTATAATGGCAGAAAATATCGACCGGTAACATTTACACCAACGCGGCGGCCTTGATTTGTGCCAGTGCCGCCCAATCAACCAACCCAAACCTCTGCGGTAGGCCGTCCCACAAGTCCTGCAGAGCTGCTGCATGCTTAGACTTCATGCTTGCCAGGCAAGATTCACAGACGGCCAACAAGGCTTCCCATTGCTCTGTCTCCCACATACGAAGTGGGAAATGCTGGAACCGCCTTCGCTCTGCGTACTTGCATGCCTCAAGACGGGACCGAACACATTCCGACTCGTCGAGGTTTTCGCACTCCGCAAGGACAGTGGGCTCCCACAGGAAGCTGAGAATCGCCGAGGTAGCCAAAGTCCTAAGTGCAATGGACTGTTCCAGGCAGAGTAATTTATCGGCGGCGCTGAGTTCCACAACCCCACGCTCTCCCTTCATCCCGTTCATTACTTGGGTTGGGGGTAAGGCTGCCGCTACTCGATAATAGGCGAGGGGTAAGATCCAGTCGAAGGACAGTTCTTGACCGAATAGAACCACTCCAACCCAGCCGTGGCCATTTTCGAGTTTCCAAGACGTATTGTCGTACAACATCGGGTACTGCGAGATGTCCGTTGGAAATGCCGATGACAAATGGACCAGCCCCCGTTTCCGTAGAGTGTCCACTTGATATTTCGTGCTGAGTCGAATTATCCCCGAAATCGTGTTGAAGTCGGTTTTGGCTGGATATGGCAGGAAGAATCTGAATATTGAGAGGTCGGAACAGGGGGCGGATGCAAAATAATTGAGACGCACTCGTGGTCGAACAATGCCCTCGGAAAACACTCCAGGTCGCGCTTATCATCTGATAGCTCCACCACTGGGCAGCCTTCGATGAGAGAGCCACCCTCTGGCTGAGGGAACTGGAGCATGTCGTGGAAGACCGGCGAGCGCTCTGCGAGGAGTCCTGCGTACACGCGGAATGCCGCAGCTCCGGCCTGGAGCACAAGAGTGCCATCGTTGAACCAAAGTCCCTCGACGGGAGTATGAGTAACCGCGTCCATCGTTTGTGGTAAAATGCTATCCGCTGGACTCCCGGCTGGAGATTGGTGTGTGGCGCAGGTGGATAGTGACATGAGAGGCAGATGAAAGGAGGCGACTCCTTTTTTGTGCGATGCGTCTTGTGATATGTGATCGCCGAGCTCTGCCGAAACGCTTTGGCAGTCCTATTTGCTGATTTGTCTTCAAGTGAAGGTGGATGACCCTTCGGATACACTTCACTCTGGCTGACTCGATCTCAATTCCTCTAAGAGCAGGCAAGAACACGTGTGGCTTGAGGGGCTCATTGTGGGCCCCGGCTCAACCGCGGTCAAGCGTTTCGGTTGAACCTCAATTGCCAATGGAAAACGTATGGACTAATCCCGTCGGCAAACGGCAGGCGGTAGGCGCGACCCGCTTCTGGGTGTGACTACCCCATGCTACCGGAATCCAAACTGTATGGATTCAGAATATTCAACCAGCCTTTGTTCACGTTTCCTAGGGAGGCGCATTGAATAGAACCACGGAGGCGACAGACACCGCGCAGCACCGCGCTCAATTCCAATGTGGTATTGAGTGACCCACTTAACGTAGGGCGCTCGCCGCGCGCGGAAGGGCAATGTTACCTGAGACAACAACCGGAACAGAGTTTGACTGGATGAACACGGAAACAACCAAAAAGCGGAGAGGAGGAGGAATGACGTGGGTGCAGCGAAGGACAGATGAAAAAGCAATATAATGCCCTGCGCGAAGGGCACCTTTGAGGCAGGTAATAGCAGCAACTCGTTTCGATCGAGTGACCTCGGGGTTAGAGGATTACGCGAAACGTATATTCCGTATGGGCCCCGCGCGCTTCCAGACTGCGCCATGCTGCTGATGCAAAGAAGCGCCCGGTCGACAATGCGTCGATGGATGAGCGAGCAACTTGAAGGGAGCAGCATAATTTCCGCTCACTCTGAAGATTTAGATTGAGAAATCAGGAGGGATGATCATGGTCGGGCGGCGGTGTGGAAAGTTTCAGTGATAGTGCATTCGGGCGCACTGGCAAGGAGGAGAACTTGGAGTCAGCGCTCCAGGGAGAAATTCAAAATCTACATAACACAAAACCCATTCAGCCTTGGATTCTTGTTTGATGGGGCTGCCGTTTCGGCGTGATAGGCGCCCAGCACTTGCTCCCAACTTCCATCTGCTCCATCTGTTGGACGACCTCTGTCGTTCCCTTCTCAGACTTGATAACTGCGGGAGCTACGAAAACATCACCAGCACGCTCGTTGTTGTTGCCGTGTTCCGTATCGCACCGGACGACACGCTGAATGCGCGAGGCAGGGTCGCGTCGGATATATGTTGTGGGGCACTGGCGCGGCCGATCGGTAATGTGGCTCGACTCATGTCCAGGTGGGGCTGGAATTAATGATCCTTCAGAGAGAAAATAACGCCGTTTCGTATTCCACGGTGAAATCACAGCTAGGTGCGCGAATTGGAGGGTCGACACACTCGAGTCAATCAAACCTACGAGTCCGGCCCTCGGAGACTAGTAATAATAGGTACTTGTGGAGCGGGAAAGTTTGGTAAATTCCTCCTGTCATGGGGCTCCGACTTCTCAAACACAGAAGACACACCGGATCTCTCCCAGGCCTATAAAGAGACTCGTCACGGCGTCTCCATTCAATCCCCTCCCATATCCCACCTCACCCCACATAATGCGCTTCGCTACCATGATTTCCTCGCTCGTTCCCCTCGCCCTCACGGCACTAGCCCTCGCTGGCCCCACGCCCCTCGACGTGTTCGACCCTCCCGTCACCTCCCCGACTGCAGGCGCTGTTTTGGTGAGCAAGACACCGACGACTATCACCTGGTGCGTTCGGACTCGGCAGCTTCATAATCCTCGCCCCTCATTGCGTCTCCACGAAATAGGGACACAACTAGCGCCCCCGTCAATATCTCCAACAAGGCGCTACTGATGCTCCGCAAGGGCGAAATTACCGCGCCCTGTAAGCAGTCATTTGATTGGGAGTGAATTCGCCGCCCCACTCACCTTGCGCCTGCCGCAGTCATCCTTGCCGAAGGCTTTGACCTCCGTTCAGGGAGTCTCGACATCACCGTCCCGAACGTCCTCACCGGCTCCGACTACGCATTCGTTTGTGAGTACGAGTCCAATCCGGAGAATTGTGCAGTGGTCTGATTCCCGAAATCCGCAGTGTTCGGCGACAGCGGAA